ATGCTATGCCCTTGTGTTATTGATTTTGGAGGGTCATGGGATCAGTTCCTACCGCTTGTAGAGTGTGCTTATAACAACAGCTACCAGTCGAGTATTCAGATGGCTCCATATGAGGCTTTGTACGGGAGGCGGTGTAGATCTCCAGTTGGTTGGTTCGAGCCCGACGAGGTTACGCTATTGGGGATAGATTTGGTTCAGGATGCTTTAGATAAGGTGAAGGTGATTCAGGAGAGACTTCGTACGGCGCAGTCGAGGCAAAAGAGTTATGCTGACAGGAAGGTTCGAGATGTGTCCTACATGGTTGGTGAGAAGGTTATGTTGAAGGTTTCGCCCACGAAGGGTGTTATGAGATTTGGAAAGAAAGGGAAGTTGAGTCCGCGGTTCATTGGGCCTTTTGAGGTACTTCGGAGGATTGGGGAGGTGGCTTATTAGCTTGCTTTGCCACCCAGCTTGTCGAGTGTGCATCCAGTATTTCATGTTTCTATGCTCCGAAAGTATATTGGGGATCCGTCTCATGTTCTGTATTTCAGCACGGTTCGGTTGGAGGGGGATTTGACTTATGATGTGGAGCCATCAGCTATTTTGGAGCATCAGGTTCGGAAGTTGAGATCAAAAGATATAGCTTCGGTGAAAGTGCAGTGGAGAGGTCGGCCCATGGAGGAGGCTACCTGGGAGACCGAGCGGGAGATGCGGAGCAGATATCCTTACCTGTTTGAGGCTTCAGGTATGTTTCTTGACTCGTTCGAGGACGAACATTTGTTTAAGTTGGGGAGGATGTGACGACCCGGCCAGTCGTCTCATGAGTTACCGCTCCATTTCCCCCATTTATGCTTCTTTATGCTTTGTTATCCATGTTTTGTGGTATCGGGTTGGTCGGATCGAGTTCGGAAAGGATTTGGTAAGGGTTGAGACACTTAGTCTCTTTTAAGGAAGCTTAAGTTGGAAAAGTCAACCGGATGTTAACTTATGTGTTAGAGGGTTCGGATGTGAGTCCCGATGGTTCGATTAGCTTCGGGAGGTGATTTGTGAATTAGGAGCGTGATCGGAATGGGTTTTTGAGGTCCGGAGTAGATTTAGGCTTGAATTGGTGAAGTTGATTTTTTGGCGATTTCCGGTTGGTAGGTGAGATTTTGATATAGTGGTCGGAATGGAATTCCGAGAGTTGCAGTCGCTATGTCATTTGGGATGTGTGTGCAAAATTTCAGGTCATTCGGACGTGGTTTGGTTGGGTTTTTGATCAAAAGCGGAATTTGGAAGATATTAGAAAGCTTAGGCTCGAGTCCGATGTGTTTTGGGTGATTTGATGTTGTTTGAGGTGTTTTGATGAGTGGAACAAGTTTGAGTAAAGTTTTAGGGAATGTTGGTGCCTTTGGTTGAGGTCCCGGGGGCCTCGGGTGAGTTTCGGAGGGTTGAATAGATCATTTTGAGTTAAGAGAAATTGCAGAAAAATAGTCTCAGCTGTTGCAGGTGTTTTGGTCTTCGCGTTCACAAAGGGCCAGGAAGAGAGGCGTCATGTTTGGCCTTCGCGTTTGCGAAGGGTAGTCCCGCGTTCGCGAAGGGCTGGATTGGTAGGCTTCGCGTGAGTCTGGGTCGCGTTCGTGTAGGTTGGTGAAGCTGAGGCATCGCGTTCGCGATAGGGGATCGCGTTCGCGAAGAAGAATTTTTGGTCAACGGAATTTTTGTGCTTTGCGAACGCGAGGCTTTGACCGCGTTCGTGAAGAAGGAAATTAAGGCCTGGGCAGAATGTTTTAAACTCGTCTTGTCCGCAAATGTGGGGTTATTTTCCTCCATAGTTGGTCATTTTGGGAGATTTTTGAAGGAGATTGAAGAGGGATTCAAGGGGAAACGATTGGAGGTAAGATTCTTGGACTTAAAACTCTATTATTATGTGAATTACACCTAGAAAATCATGAAATCTAAGCCTAAAATTGAAGAGCTAGGGGCTTGAAATTAGAGACCAAACATTTGGGATTTGAAGGGTCATTTATGGATGGATTTTGATGTTCTTGGTATGTATGAACTCGTGGAGAGATAAGGAATCTATTGATGTGAAAATTTCTGAATTTCGAGACGTGGGCCCGGGGGTCGGGTTTGACCAATTTCGGAATTTTGGTATTATTTTGATTGTTTTCGCTTGGGCTTTGTTCCCTTAGCATATTTTGACATCCTCGTTCTGATTTTGGATGGATTCGACGCGAGTGGAGGCATATTCGAGGGGCAAAGGCGTTGCGGAGTAGTATTTTCACCGGGTTGAGGTAAGTAACCATTGTAAATCTGGAACTGAGGGTACAAAAACCCAGTATTTGACTTGTTTTGATAAACGCGGTGACACACATGCTAGGTGACGAGTGTGTGGGCGTGCACCTCCGGAGTCTTCACACCCCCAGTGAGCGTAGGTGACTATAAATATATGGATCGGGCTGCACGCCGCAGCCGTTATTATGATTTCTATTATTATGAGATATTGTGAGACTGAGTGACGAGGGTTGAGTCACGAGTGACTGAGAGGCTGCTCGAGAGGCCATATTTCGAGTGATTCCTTGTCCGAGGGCCCCAGTTATGATGTTTTTACTCCCCTTTTTAAGATAAGCCTCTGTTGAAAATATTGTTAAGTATCTGATTTCAAATGTTTAAACTGGAAAAGCTGATTCTTTGACGAAACTAGTTTTAAACTGTAAAGTTGATCTGTTATCCTGTGATTTCTCATTTATATGCTTTTGAACTGCTCGTCACTACTTTCAATACTTATTTACTTTAGTTACTTACTGAGTTGGCGTACTCACGTTACTCCCTGCACCTTGTGTGAAGATCCAGGTGCTCGAGCGGCTGAGTGAGGGCTGTTTAGCTGATCCAGCGTGTTGACGGAGATTTCCAGGTAGCTGCATGGCGTCCGCAGCCCTGTTTCTCCCCTCTATATTGTTATCTTTCCCGTATTTCCTAGACTATTGGTGTAGTTGGTTTTCAGATATGTATTAGAGGCTCTAGACTCGTGACACCAGATTTGTGGGGCTGTGTAGTTCATGTTTTATTGACTTCCGCATATTTATCTGTTGTTTAAACGTTTATTATAAGAATATGGTATTTAAACCTGCGTAAAAATGGCTTAATGTTTAAGGAAAAGGGTTGTGGTTAATTGTTTAGTTGGCTTGCCTAGTAATGTGATAGACGCCATCACGATCGGTATTTGGGATCGTGACAATATCATCTTCAGAGTTTTCTTCACTACCTGCAGATTGTTGTACAATAGCCAGGTCATGTGCAGTGTGCTCTATAATTTCTAGGTCGTGTGCAAACTCTTCTTCATCTGTATCTGACCAGTCTATTGAAGAATACCCATCTTCATTCACATCTGCATCTTTTTCACCCACCCCAACATTTAAAGTAACAGTAGATGGAGCAAGAAGACAATCAGATTTCCTGCTGCCGCTTTCAATGTTGACAGGTGCATTAAAAGGCTTACCCACTATACTTAAATTTTCATCTATACTTTGTTATTTGACTACCAGACAAACCAGTAGGACCCCTTTTCACTATAATTGAGTTTTCACCCGCATAAATGTCTATTGTGTCCCCATCAAACAGCATTAATGAAGGTCATATATGTCCCTATCATTGTTCAATTCAACCAAATTACCCCCCTTTGATGAAATCACAAAGTTCTTTCCTAACTTCGTAATTCCAAAACTCCTAGCATAATTTGCTAGTTCAGAAATGGACAAATGATCCTCATCAACATTGAAAACATGTTCTGTCCTGCCCCCAATATAAATAGGCCACACCTCACTCACCATCATCCCTCCAGTTTTCCATCTTAGGTTAAGATATTTTGAAACCATAGATTACCCTACATCCACAAACAATAACACAAGAGAATTTTACAAAAAAGCCCCAACTTAAAAAAATACAACCTAACAATGTGAAACAAAGATAAAGCTGCGTGTAAGAAAAAAACCAACTTTGAACAATAAAAAGCACAAGCCGACAATTAGAAACACAAAAATAAAGTATTTATCAATGAAGCCCCAATTTATAACAGTAAAAAATCACAAGACGACAATTTGAGATACGTATAAAGTATTTAACAGAAAAAGCCCCTTTTTGAGATTGTTACTAAAAAAACCTAATAGCCATGCATACATGAGATGTAGAAATTCATTCTAAGTACCTTCAATTTAAAAAGCCCTAAGTTATTGTTTCTACAATCGAAACCCTAATCTATGCAAACAATATCAAAACCAGGTAAAATGCAGTAGAAAATTAAACCATTTTCAGTAAAAATCTACTTACTTAATTCGAATTTCAGACAAAAATCTTCCTTGTGGCAGAGATTAAAGGCTATCGATGTTCGTCGGTTGAAGCAGACCCCACAGACACCAATGGAAACCAGTATTGAAGTAGATTAAACGGTGTGAAATCAGCAAAATCACTACTATGATAATATTTTAGTCTTGAGAGAATCCAACACTACCAAAGCCCTCTCTACCATAGAACCATATGAGAGAGAAGTTTAAGAGAACACTCTAGTATTGTGATTTTTACCCGACTAATTTTGAGGGAAATGAGTTTTATTAAACGGTGGAGTCCAAAACACGCCAATATCTACGTGGACAACCACTTGTACATATTTTTCTATTGTGTACAGCGCGTGTATACATTGCATACTCACTACCTCAACAAAGGGTATTAAAAGATAGAAAAATCAAGCGAAGGGGGGGGGGGTATTTAGGACCCCGTATAGTAAAAGGGGGGACTAAATAAAAGTGTTCAAGTATAGGAGGGTCCCTAATATTTCTGCCTTAAATGTATAACTTTTACTTTTAACATCAGATTACTTTTATATCTATTCCTATACTTTAAGTGAGGATAAGCAGGCAGGTCATGGTCAACATGTCTGCCTGGCCCAATATTATGTGATAGCTTGTGTTTGCAGCCCAACACGTGTAGCCCAACTTTGATAAGTATTAAGTCACCGTTTCATTTCTCTTACTATACACCCGACACTTCCTGAAAAGAAAATCTCCATCTGCAAACACCGCCTCTTCTCTTCACACCTCTGCTCTCTCACTCCTCTCCTCTATCTATTGGTATTTTTTACCGGATAATCTTCTTCTCATCTTGTGTTTCTTCTATAGATTTATTTCAGTCCTTCATAATATGCTAGGTATTTTTGTTTTTCCCTTAATAGAGAAGGATTCCTGCAGAGAAAATGTAATATGTTAATAAATTTTGTTATATAGGTGTTTGACAAAACTCTTCAATCAGGTTTTCTATTAGATTTTTTATGCATGCTCCTGTATTTTATTATCTCTGGATTCATTCTTTGGTTGCATTTTGAGTAAGGGCTGCCATGTACTTTTTTAATCTCTAATTTTCAATTGGACAATGATTCTGATTCTTCTTTTTTACTTAGTATTTTAGACTGTTGATTTGTGCCTCTATATTTTCCTGTTTCTCGCTGCATCATTTTAATTTCTGATATATCACCATTAGATGTTGTTAGAAGTGTATTTATTTGAATTATTCTATTCTTGAAACAAAGTTTATACTAATGTGAAGAAGAAGAAGAAAAAGAGCCAGTGCTTAGTAATTTTTCTTTCTTGAATGAATACCTTGCAGCAAATAAATTATCTTACTCTGTTTTTGGGCTGCATTTTTCTAGGTTTTTGAGCATATTAGATAAGTGAGTATTTTGTCTCAATATACGGAATTAGTTATCACAAAAAAATATTGCTATAGGTTAAAGATAATGAAAAGGGCATCAACACACAGGTAGCATACAAAAACTTAGAAGAATAGGCAGGGCGACAATTTCAAGATTCAACCATGCACTCCTCTTAGATTGAGCCGTGGTAGCTTTTACATCACTTTTCAAATTTCTTTGACCTTTATGCAAGTAAATATCAGCCATTGGAAAGTGTAAATTTTCACTATAAATTTCTTATGCAGAGGATTTTGAAAATGAGAGTCTAGCATCTGAAACTAAGCCCGCTGAAGAGACTATTAACTTCAAGGAACTTAAGCAAATTGATCACATCCTAGCCTCTCTACAACATAATGTAAAATGCCTTAACACAATAACTGTAGTATTTCCCAATGGATTTCTTAGTACCCTTAGATAAACCGCTACTATCCTTGTCCAGTTCATCTTAAAGCATGAGGTAGCCAACCTTTGAGTTAAGGAGCTTGATTTGGGTAGTAGTTATCCTGGAAGTATCTGAAAATTATTTGTTGTCGCAGGCTTCATTAACGGCTCTGTTCGTCTTAAAATTCAATACAACAAGTTCTAAAACTGAGTGATACTTGTTTTTTTTCTTTGCAGCAGGCGGAGACTCAGCTGTCTCCAATTGATCTTATTATTGACCAAGGCCCGCTCAAGAGAACGAGAGTATGAGATATGATTGGCGTGTAAAACCGTTGCATGGGAACAAGAACTGGGACAAGGCTGTCTATATAGTTCAGAGTGATAGTTTAACCAAAAGTTTCTTCCACAAGGGATTCTGTTGTAGATTACTTGGTGTTGAATCTAAATCCTATGCTGAGACTGCTCGACGAGAACTTGCTACCATGCCAGGTAACATCTGCGGCAGATAATATTGTGTTACATTATGATTTCCTAGACTAGGAAATATAAATTGGAGCAAATGGAAGACACCGTCATATGGGATTGTTCATTACAGGGGATGACCCGATCAATATTGTAGCCTAAAGCCAAACTTTATGAGGGGCCTTAACTTTTTTTATTTATTTATTTGAAATCTATTTTTTTAGATACAAAGTTATAAATAATTTTCTTACACAATCAATAACTCCTAATAAGTATTTCTCAATTGACAATATAACTAATCCATTTAACCTTTCTTGTGACATTGTTGTACTTAGATAAGATTTTATCAATTTTAATTTTGAAAACTACTTTCCGCTGAAGCAACGGTAACACGAGTTATTAACATTATTCCATAAGCAATTTAGGCATTTGGAAAAGAATTAAATCTTTTTATTTGATAAGTGTATCAATTAAATTGTTATCTTCTAATTGTACTATTTTCCTTAATACTTTTAATTCAGAAAATAAATCTAAACCATCAATATCGAATTGATTATTATGCTTTAAGAAACATCCAAAATTAAGGCAATATTTTTTCAAATTTCCAACATCAAGTGATCTTAGTTTTTACCGCCAAATAAAAAACCAAAAATATTTTCATATGCTTCGAATTGTTCAAATTTATTTTGAAGTGAAAAAATAGCCTTGTCTATTATGTATAAAAGTAATCAACTCTAAAGGACTCTTCGAAAGATTTTGAGATTTCATTATCAACATTATATCGAATTGTTACTTCCTATATATCACACGTGTCTTGCGAAATTCGGATTCGATATTCATTTCAAGTGCAATTTCCTTGATAGAAATCATAGCAGTTGCAAATCCTTCTTCTCTATATTTGTTAAAGAAAGAAATCAAAATTTTTCACTTTACAGAACTCTTTTTAAAACTTATACATAGTCTATTAGGTATAACAAAAATGAGGCCCCCACAAATATGGGGCCTAAAACGGTTGCTTTACTTGCTTTATGGAAGGCCCTGTTCATTACTAGAACTGTCTTCTACTATTTTAACACTTCTGCTTATATCTCAAGCTAGCAACTGACTCATTTGTATTAGTTTAGGTTTCTTTCCTTTATGAAATTTTATCATAGGAAATAATAATATTCATACAACAATTTAGTGCTCTTGGGAGGAAAACATGAAACGCCATAAATATTTTACATAAAGAAAAAATCGAAATGCTCTATTCACATATTTGTCGACCTTTTTTAATAAAGAACAAAAACTCATTTATAAAACTAGAATTTATGGAGTAGTACTACATTTGTATTATCTCTTAAGACAAACGAACATAAATTAAATAGTTGAATGACTAAAACTTGTCTTCTTTAATTTAGTTGGTACATATATGCTGTAATCGTAAACAATTCATGAACACACTTCCTCATTTTTGCTCTCCAGCTTCATTTTCATATTGGGATATGCTTCACATATTTCAACGCTGCAACACTTCAATCTGGACAAGTAACATCAACCATTACTACAATGCAAGATGTTTGATCAACATGACTAAGGTGAAAAACATCTTTGCATTCCCGCCACTCATGTATTCATCTTATCTAATTTAGCACATCGACGTCTTTATTAAGTGCTATTATTGTCTTTTATCATAATAAATCTTTGATGCAGCTTGCACGGCATGTCCAAGCTCTATATATTGGGGCGAAGCTGTGTGTCAAAAATATACATCTCATGAGACTACCCATCTACTAACATGTGGCCGTTGTTTTGCTTAATCAATGTACTTGTCTTTGTGGGAATGATAGTTGATAACAAGAAACGCATGAATTTAACATCTTACTGTAATTTAGCATTTGAGATTTCTATTTTGCCGATGTACTTTCACCTTCAAAAACCTTATTAATTTCATACGTTTTACCTTTGACTCTTATCAGAAAACTGAAATGCCAAAAAGTTGTCAATTGAAGAGGAGATTTCGAGGTGCTTGTTTAGTGACACTTAAAATAAGCCAGCATCAGATGAGAAATCCCTCATGACGAGGGTCAATTCTCTGTGCTGTCTTCTTCAGAAGCATCCTACTACAGTTAATAAGAGCGATAACTGTGTCGGTGTTGCGGTTGGAGGAAAGAAAACTGATGGATTGATCAAAATTTCTTTTCCATAGCAACAAGTGGAAAGAAGGTTGAAGATTCTACTGCTGCAGAGGATAAATCAAAGATCCAACTCCATAAATGTCAAGAAAAGAATCAGTAGGCGATTTGTTGCTAAATCTATCAAGAATTGCGTCATTGCCTCATTTTTGTTCAATATCTACGACGATTCTGATTACCAAGCTAGATAGTGTTGGGTTTTGGATGTGTTTAATTAATATATTAAATACTTAAAAGAGGGTGAATGAGAAATGGAGGGAAATAAAATTTTTGAGTGAAATTTTAAGTTCCCCCTTGGCAAATGGGCATTGTCCCATATTGGAAGAGGAAGAGGTTTTTTATGGGTATATAAGCAATTGCTCTTCTTCTAGCTCTTAAAGAGTTGAGAAGAAGGCAAGCCTCGCGCCGTCGTCGTCGCTCGGCTCGGCTTCGGCTTCGGCTTCGGCTTCGGCTTCGGCTTCGGCTTCGGATTTGGTCAAATGATTGATTGATTAACTTTTTGGACCAAATTTATTTGTTAATAGTAAAATATTAACAGAAATGTTATTAAATATTTGTTTTAATAACAAAATATTAATATTAAATATTAATATTAAATCCAATCCGTTTTTCTGTTTTGGTAACAGAAAAGTAACTACCCTCTTCAATTTTCCCTCTTTATTTTCCCTCTTTATTATTGAGTAAATGGCCATTTATGTAATGGCATTTATGCTGTGGGCGTTTTGCATAAACAGCCATTCTGAAGAGTTGCACCTCTTCAGATTTCAGCCTAACTTTGGCTATAAATACAACACTATTCTGCTCAGAATTTCACTACGATTTTCTGAGTTTCTTCTCCTTCTTCTGCATACTTTTAGCATCAAACAAAGCAAAAAGTAAGTGTGATTTGCTACCGAACTTTGTGTTCGCTGAAACACTGGGGTTTGAAGTACCACTACACCAGTGTGTAATTCGTTCTATCCTGGGAGGAAATAATCCATAACCTTGGGTACTAGGAGGGGATTAAATTCCTTAAGGAAACACTGTGAATTCAGTGGGCTCGAATTGGTTTTATGTCATTTCTGTTTATGTTCATTTCTGTTTATACTCATTTATATTTCCAGAATTATTTTTGCAAATACAGTCTACTAACAGATAGCTATCTGCTTAGTTTATTATCATCCTCAAGGATGGTGAGTTGTTACTCTTGCATATAGCAAGCGCAGTCCAAATGGCTATCTTGTTCAGTTTAAGATTTGACTTGTAATCAAAGCACACAAAATAAAAATGAGTTGTTGGGCCCGTGCTTAGCACGGGCAATTTCCCACTAGTAGAGATATATGAGAGAGAGGAGGAGATGGAGGTATAATTAAGATTATATAAAAAAAATTGACATTTTTTTTATATAGTACAATATATAATATACGAAAAAATTAATCGAGAGAAACTAACTTAATTAGTAAGAGGAGAAAGGAGAATGACTTAAATTATTCAAGTAAGGATATCAATTTTTTATTTTATTGGAGGAATTTAATGGTATGAGTACGAGAAAAAAGGAAGAAGTAACAAAAAAAGGTAGCCAAGGTGAAAAAATGAATAGAAGTTGAAGAAAGGTGGGAACCAAAAATAATGTTGGAATGAATTAAAATAAATAGTATAAGGAAAAGAGGTAGGATTACATGAAGAAAATTATCAAAATGAAAAATGATAGAAAAAAAAAGATTTAAAAAAACCAAAGGATAGAATATCAACAAGAAAAATGACAAAAAGGGAGAACGGGAATTCAAAAATGACATCGCAGGAAAAAAAATCAAGATGTCAAGATAATGAGAAGTATTAAATGATAAACTATTTTTTTTTATTTTGAGAATTAAAAATATTTTTTATAAAGGTAAACATAAGTAAAATTGAATAATACTTGGATATAGATTTATTAAATTTTGAAAATAGAATTATTTAACTTAAACGTATCAACTAAAAATTTTAAGAAAATATTTGAGATGGATGTACAAAATTAAGTGTCTACTACCGGCAACTCTTTTAATATTTCGGTATTAGAAAAATAATCATGTCGTTAATTTAACCGCACAAAGCGGGGCATGTTTACTAGTTTATGTATAATATCCTACTAGTATATTTATATTTTTTCGGGGCCATGCTGGCTCCTAACATCCAATTGCTATGCAAGACAATATTAACACATTATTAATTATTTTTAAAAAAAATTTAAAAGCAATTTAACAAGGAGTGCAGAAGTGTAGCATGAGTAGAACCGACCCCATGTACTTTGTAAGTGTCGAGCCTAACCTCGACGAGGTAGTGACGAGGCTATAACAAGGCACTCACTAAAAACCAGTGCGAATACAATGAAATAACAACAAAACAGAAGAAACAAGTATATCGTGGAAACCAGAAAAAAATTATATAACAGAGGGCCCCAAAATAGCATTAAAGCTCAATTTTCTCAATACAACACGGATATGAATAACAACAGCTCAAAAATAGTTAAATATGTCTTCTTTATTGCAGTGTGCAACCCGACCCATAAATATTTAAATAAATAATGTCTTCTCCATTTTGGAGCTCAACCTGATACAAAATATAAATATACGATTACCGTTGCGGTGCGCGGATGATAAGTAGGGATTTTGACTGCTTATTTGCTCTCTTTTACTTGCGTTTTAGCTCAAAAATGCTTAAAGGTATTCCAAAACTTAATGAAATGTGCGTACTTGCAGAAATATTGGGAAACGAGCCTAAGAAGTCAAAATCAACCCATAAAGGAGTCAAAAGTGAACAAGAACCAAAACTGGTCAAAAAGGCTAGTAATACGGTCCACACAATTCTAGTGCGGCCACAGAAGGGAGATTCATAGATAGTGTTTTGGCCAGCTTAGGGAGTGCGGACGACACTGAAATTGTGCGGCCGCAGGAGATCAAGTGCGACTGCATTGATTATTATGCGGTCCGCAGGATTGAAGATTCAGAGAGTTGGTTCAAGACCAAAAGTAGAAGAGTGCGGACCGCACCACTTTTGTGCGGCCGCATAATCAGAAGTGCGGCCGCACCCACTTTTATGCAAACCTCAGAAGCCTGAAGTCCCAAGTTCAAATTCCCAAAGACTGCGGACCGCACGATAATTGTGCGGCCGTAGGAGCACATTGTGCGGACCGCACCAGAATTATGAGGCCACAAAACCTTCGCAGGGGCATTTTTGTTAGATATTTTCAACTTTGTATAAATAAAACTTTTTGTGATTTTTAGGTTAAGTTTAGTTTGCAGAGGTGTACCTGAGCGGTTTTCTTTACTTCTTTGAGTAATTTTGTACTAGATTGACTTCTTTTCATTAGATTTGTTTAATCAATTATTATGCATTCTCTCTTAATTTCTTCTTGTATTTCTTTATTTTATATGAGTAACTAAATCTTTAGCTAGGGTTGTGGCTCAACCCTAGTGTGGGTACTTAATGTGTATTTAATTTTATGGCTTGTTTGTGATTGGGTTAGTGATATTTAGCCTTGTTTATGCTTAAATCCTAGAATTAATGGTTGCAAACATTGATTCATGCCTATTTGACCTAGTCTTTGCTTGAGAAAGAGAGACTAGGTTTAGGAAAACTTGGCTAACAAGGAATTGGGGTGAACTCAAGAAATTGATAGCCCCAATTAAAGGGTCAAATATATAGATAGTAAGACCCGACTTGAGCATATATCACTTGATTTGTGCAAATACCTATTTGGGCTTGAGAAAGCCAAATTGAGAAAAGTCAGTCAAACTACCGAGAGTTATAGAGTGAGTATTGCGTGTGATTGCTATATTACAATCCCGATAAATCAAACTTGCCCTATAGTTTACAACCCGTTAGGTAGCCACCTAGGTGGAAGTCACTACCCTAGATTCCTTTACCATTTGAAAAACAACCAAAACCAAAAATATTATCTTCTAATTTAGTACTTGCAATCATTAGCTAAAAGTAGAAATAGAAACAACCAATGAATATGTGGAAGTACAAATTGAGGGACATCATACACTTACTCTAGTTACATACCTAATCCTATATCTAGCTCCCTGAGGAATCGACCCCAATCTGTGTTGGGATTTATTATTGCTTCGACCGCCTTATTACCTAATTGTGGTGTGAGTTTTGGTGATATCAATTTTTTACGCCGTTGTCGGGGAATTAAACGGATTTAGCTATATATCTAGGTTTTTGTGTGTTTTGTCTTCATTCCTTCCGAGTTACTAATTTTGTGTTTGAATTGATTTTAGGTACAAAAATGGCTCTCAACAACGAGCCCATAAAAAATGTGCCATTGGGGGAGGAAGTGGACGATGATGCAATGGATGAGGTTCCTCTTGAACCTCAAGCTAATAGACTAGGTCGTCCGCCTCACGATAATATGCCCGTCCTTCCCCCACCTCCACCAAGAGCGGCAACCCACCGACAATTACCAAACGAGGGTTACTCAAGTGCTATATTCCCGCCCCGCATTATGGCGGGAAACATCCAAATCACCAACGTGATGCTTACACTACTTGAGCAACGGAGATTCTTCACCGGGGCTCCGAGTCAAAATGCCTACAAGCATCTCAAGGGGTTCGTCGATACTTGTTGGGGGAGCAAACAAACAAATGTTTCTGAGGACGCGCTGAGGTTGAGGTTATCTCCCTTTTCTCTATGGGGAAAATCATTGGACTGGTTAGAGAGGTTGCCCAACCATTCCATCCGCACTTGGGATGAGTTGGCAGAAAAGTTTATTTCCAAATTCTTTTCTCCGAGACATATAACAACGCTTCGGGATGAGATTCTTGCTTTCAAGCAAGAACACAATGAGCCATTGCACGAGATTTGGGAAAGATATCGTACCATGGTTAAAGAGTGCCCGAACAATGATATGACTGAGGCCATGATCCAACAGACCTTCTATAGGGGGATCAACACAACTAATTAATGTGTGGTTAATCAACTCGCCGGGGGGAACTTCATGAGCATGCCATATGCCGAAGCTTGTGAAATTCTTGATGAGATGGCGGATACCTCTTCGGCGTGACAAAGTAGAGCCAATGTTCCGCAAGGTGACCCTAATATTATTCACCTACACAAGGAGCTACATGACCATGGGCAAGCTATTGCCGAGTTGACAACTACCATGAACCAATTGGCCAAAGCTCAGCTTCAACAAGTTCAAGGGCCAAAACAAGTGCATGCAATGGAAGGTGTGAATATGATG